TTTAATTAGGCTCTCAGGGCAAGACTGATTGTCGATTCATCTATTTTCATAATTTAGCAGTTTAGGTGCTAATGAGTACTAACTGATTTAGAATTGGTCCCAGTACTTCAGTTTGATTGGTCATAGTCTCTCCATGCCTTTTAATCACTCTGTTTTTTCCTTGCAGTTTGAGTTCAAGGCAAAGAACGTGAAGAAGAAGAAAGTGAGCATAGTGGTTTCCGTAGACGGGGTCAAAGTGGTGCTGCGCAAAAAACCCAAGGCATGTGTGATCTCATTAGCCCTACACCTCTGACATGACACATGAATATCATTATCCTGTATCAGAATTACAGTACTAGAATTTAGAAGTTTATATTTTTATCTCATTCATAATGAGCATTTGCAGTAGAGTCCCTGACATTTGCCTCGTTTTGACCTTAAGAGGAAAGAGTGGACGTGGGATGAGAGCAAGATGCTGGTTATGCACGACCCCATATACAGGTGAGATGCAGAAAATATAACAAAATAAATGATATTTCGACAAATGATATTGTATTAATGTTTAGCCTATGTTCACTTTTTTTCTCTCTGTTTCCTCCTAGGATCTTCTATGTATCCCATGATTCTCAGGATCTGAAGATTTTCAGCTACATTGCTCGTGACGGATCCAATAACTCGTTCAGATGCAATGTATTCAAGTCCAAAAAAAAGGTAGAGCAGTCTCTTTTTTACGTAAAAGGCAAAATAATGATCTCCTGTTACTCTCTTTCTCTCTGCCACTTTTGCCCCAGACCAAGGATAAATATCATGATGTATGCCATTTTTTCAGTCCATCTTGTCCTTGAGCAACTGATTAAATTTGTAGAGGGCCTTAACCTTGATACTCTTCACCTATTTGTCTCTGTTGTCTCTGCTGTTCTTGTCATTCTTTGCCCTTTGCTTTTTTTTCATGGAATTGTAGTAGCACAGCCCCCGTAATGGGGGGGAAAAAAACTACCTATGAACAAAAAGCAGAAGAAAATTATTTTATATGAGGAGAAGAGCCCAGCCCTGAAGGTGAGACCATGCCATCGCATCAGAGCATTATTGCCTAAAACACATGTCATCACTGAGTAAATTAAAATCTGTGGAGCATTTCTGTGATCTATCTCGCGTGATGTATGAACATGTTGATCATTGTTGTATAACTGGTTTCTTGAAGTGTGCATCATATTCTTAAAATTCTGCTGTTGTTTACAGCTCGTCAGCTGACAGGGATGGAGCACGGAATGGATGATGCCACTGGAACGGAGTCACATTCCACAAAGCTCAGTGAGCAGGCTATGGATGACATTCTTCAGAGTCTGTCAGAGCTCAACATGGTGAAACCTTCACAAACCCTCCAGGTGAGTGAGAGTGATCTGGAGTATGAGCATGACTGAGAAGCTCTTCTCCCCACAGACGTCTGTCCAATATCGCTCGTCAGCTGGAAATAGGCTGTTTATAAATATAGAGGAAACCCCTTTCACCTCCTTTTTCTTCTGTTTTTTCCCCTTTAACTCAACCTTATTCCTCCTTCTGGGTATTCAGTGATACTGTTATGTTGCCCCAGGCCTGCACACTATTTTCAAAATCTTTGCCTGACTTTAACCACTTAACTGTGTCTGAAGTGGAAATAATATCATACAGCCCCAGTGAGACAGGAATTTCATTTAGACAGCAACACACAAAAATCTTTAGATTATTTAAGTTCCACTCATACAGCAAGTCTCAGCTGAGTGAGCAGTTTCACAAACTTATGCCAGCTAGAAATCATGCTGTTAGGTCAGGATAAAAATATTTTATACCCCTTTTATTAATTGTGGCATTGTGACGTTATTTTAATTTCCCCTCAGATTTTCATTAGTGTAATGCATCTGCCTCATTATTCTCAGTGGTGATTATCATTTTTAGACCTCATTTAAACCACTGTATTAGTGTAATAGATTACATGTACTGTATTTTTACCTATCTTCTCAACAATGAAGTGGGTCATTACTAGGTAGGCTGCTACACTACCGTTTAAAAGTTTGGGGTTGGTATTTTTTTATGTTTTTGAAAGAAGTCTCGTATGCTCACCAAGACTACATTTATTTGATTAAATCTACAGTAAAACAGTAATATTGTCAAATATTATTTAAATGTAAAATAACTGTTTTCTATATTTTGAAATGTAATTTATTCCTGTGATGGAAAAGCTGACTTTTCAGCAGCCATTACTCCAGTCTGTCACATGATCCTTCAGAAATAATTCAAATGTGATTTCTTATTATTATCAATGTTGAAAGCAGTAGTGCTGCTTAATATTTTTGTGGAAACCATGATACTTTTTTTCAGGATTCTTTGATGAATGCATCCTTGCTGAATAAAATTATTAATTTCAAAACAAAATCTTGCTGACCCAAAACTTTTGAACTATACTGTATTATTAAAGTAAATGAAAGCAAAAACAATAATTTAAAAAATGAAATGAAATGCATTTAAACATATTTAAACAAATGAATTCAACATATTTTACCATGATATATGACAAGTCTCAGTTATCCTAACGCAGCACACGTAGCAAGGTCTTTTTTTAAATTATATAATAAATAAAAAGAAAACAGATAGAATAGAAAAAGAATAGAGCAAGCTAGTGTTAGGCATTTTTTTAAAGAAAACAAGCAGTTGGTAAATGAATAGAGTGCAAGTCTAAAAGGGGCAAGTATTTTATTTTTTTAAAGAATAGAATTAGAATAGAGAGTGCTAGAGGAAGAGATGTGGTTTTAGCCGATTCTTGAAGATGGCTAAGGACTCAGCTGCTCGGATTGCATTATAAATGCTTTTTATACATTAAATAAGATACAGTATTATTAGTATTATCTGTTAGTATTATTATTTGTGCATTACTACAGTAATGAGATTTAATGACATTTAAATGCAAACTGGCCATTCAAGTTGATTTGGCTGCATGTCCGTGTTTATAAGTTCATATATCATATGAGGGTGCCATAAGGATTATTAAGTAAGTTCAAATTCAAAAACTGTTTGATGTTTGATATCTCTCCATGGTTCATTACAGAAATTCCCAGTGCAGAAAGGCTGCCTAGCCTGAAAGCAGATAATGCATTCATTCATTTTACATGTATTCATTTAGCAGCAATCCATTCATAATGCATTCATGTGTTCCTTGTCTAGCAAACATCAAAGATCCAGTGGTGTTCCATTAGCTTTGTAGCTGACGTTCATGACAAATGGATCTACTGGAGGATAAAAGAAGACAGAATGGGAACATTCATTGTTGCAGCTTCCTTTTTTTATGCATTATTTTTTATTTTTTTAAATGTAGTCATGAACTGTTATATCTTTGCCATCCTACATATGGAAGATATTTCTGTCTGCACAATGGAGATAATGGATATGAAAAGATTGTTTTCATGAACGGTTTCATTTTGGCAGTCTTGCTTTTGCAGATGTGCTACTAGCTCCATCATCTGTCTCTCATCATGCTGATATAAACCTCCAGCTCCTCCTGGTGGTTGACATCTGAAATCACACAGAAAGAGGAATTCTGTTGTTGTTCTCTTTGCTGCTTTCTAGTTGTGATAATGTCATGTTTGGTGTCATGCGTATGACACTTTCTCCTTCTTGATCCAAAGCTTTGGCACTACTTATGTTTTGAGACATATTTGCATTTATCTTATGGTGGTTTAAAGAGTGTTGTGATTTGCTTTGACAAACAGTTACCAGAGGTGTAAAGAGTACCTAAAAACCATACTTGAGTAAAAGTACAGATACCATACAGTGAAAATTACTCCACTACACGTTACAAGTCACCAATTCCAAAACAACTTGAGTAAAAGTCTTAGAGTATCTGATTTTAACAGTACTTAAGTATTTTACTTATACTAAATATAGGCTCAAAAATGCACTAGTCAAAGAGACATGCTAGTTAAAAAACTGTAATGTTGTGGAGAAGCTGCAGAAAATAGGCAGAGGCAAGGATCTCTGTGCTGGTATTTCATGGAAAAACTAGAACAAACAATAAGGCAAAAACCAAAGGGAACAAAGAACAGAATGACTGGCAAACAGACAACCATTACATTCAACAACTCGCAAGGAACTAAAGAAAAACTAGGGCTATATATACACACTGGGGGCTAACAAGCTTAACAAGATAACAAGACACACCTGGGGAGACTAATCAAGGGGAACCAATGAACAAACGGACAACAAACTGACTACAAACACCACGGGAGACAGGAAGTGACATAAAAGTCCAGGGCAAGGCACAGAGAGCATGAAACAAAAACAAGAAAGAGCTGATTTGTGAGGAGAACAATCACATTTATTTTCTAAAACCAAAATAAAACTGAACACCTCAAAATAACAAAACAAAACAAACAAACAATATCTTTCAAAAAGGTCTCTTCAGTATAATGGATAAATAAAATAATGTCAAGTAAAATTAAAAAGCAGAAGCCTTCTTGCAGTGGATGTGCTGGTTTGGGCCTCATTGCCGGCTGCAGTCATGTCCTCATCTCATATATAAAACACCTCTGATTCACAAATACTTGCTAAGGAAATCACATTCACATAAAGTAGCCTTGTTGAAAAGTTTGGGTGAGTAAGGGCAAAAAGCACAAGATGCAGTACTTTCAGTGACCTGTAATAGGCAGTATCACGTCTTCTGTAGCAGAAATAAACTGCTGCAGAAAAAGCTAGGTCCATGCAAAATGTAATGTGTAACTGCAACACTCATTTCAAATGTAGTGGAGTAAAGAGTACAGATACTCACTCAAAAATGTAGTGAAGTAAAGAGTAAAAGTTGCTAATATCTTTGATACTCAGTACAACTACAAAGTACCCGAAAAGATACTCAAGTACAGTAACTAATTACATTTACTCCAATACTTCACACCTCTGCAAATAACTAAACTATGATATTTTGCTCTTTTAGGGTCACAATGGCTCCTGCCTTCCGCTTGACTCTGAAGCCCAAAGCCACAGATAATATGACCCACCTGATGGTGGACTTCAGTCAGGAGAGACCGCTTCTGCAGGGCCTCAAGTTCCTCCCCGGTAAGCTAATCACTCATTTGTTCTTTAGCCGCTTGTATTACAGGATCAACCCATCTAGAGTTTGAACCTACAGCCTTTCAGTTTCCAACAACCCAGCATCTAGTTACTAAACCTGTGATAGAAGAATCTACTATAACCTGTTCTGTAAATATGATGATTATGATTCTTATCATCATAGAAATGTTTCCACAACCAAAGGATCTTAACATTAATTTAAAAGAATGTTATTGTTATGTTTACTAAAACATCTCAAATATGCCATTTCACATAACCCTAACACTCCGATATTACATGTGTTGCATGACGCTAATGTGAATACTTGGATACAAAAAAAACTGTTATGTTCCACTCTTTTATTTCATGTCAGCTAAATAAGTAAACCCTGTCACTTTTTTCATGGGTATTCAGTACAAAACTTATTTAGCATTAAATGGCCTATCAGAGTTGTTAAAGGAATAGTTCACCCAAAAATTAAAATTTGATGAAGATTTACTCTACCTCAGGTTATCCAAAATGTAGATGAGTTTGTTTCTGTTCACATGTGTATTCATGCATCAGGGTGACTCTCTGCAATTTTGTGTGTCCACTCTGGTTTCGTGTCTCATGATGCACCAAATCCAGAAATTTAAAAATACCACTAAAACATTTTTTTGCATCACCTGCCTGTAACGACGTAAACCC